TAAAACCCCAAAGTCCCCAACCCCTCCCCCCCCCCCCAAAAAAAAAAAATGAAACTCCAAATCCCCCCCCAAAAGCCAAACTGAGTTGTGCCTTAAACCATTTCAAAATCACTTATGAATAGGTTCCCTTATAAGGAAAAAGGAAAATAAACATTCTCCCAAAGCACAACCCAGCAAAGCGAGATTTCCGTGCACCGACTCGACGAGTTGGTCCGTGTCGGCATCGAGGGCACCTCGGCTTGCTGGCTGGTATAGTTAGGGGGGGGGGAGGGGGGGGGGGGGGGGGGGGGGGTTTAGTTAGGGTTTAGGGTTTAGGTTTAGGGTTTAGGGTTTAGGGTTTAGGGTTTAGGGTTTAGGGTTTAGGGTTTAGGGTTTAGGGTTTAGGGTTTAGGGTTTAGGGTTTAGGGTTTAGGGTGGAGGGGAAGAGTTAGCATAGACTGTAGCCTTAACAGCTGACTTCTGCTGAATATACTTAAGCATTAAGTACTGGTTTGCAAACACGATGAAAACACCCGCCAATGGGAACCGCGACATAGCCGCGACATACCCCCCCTATATATATATATACATATATACATAGATAGAGAGAGAGAGAGAGACAGAGAGAGAGAGAGGGAGAGAGAGATAGAGGGAGAGAGAGAGAGGGAGAGAGAGCCACACACGGGAACCTCCAATCCTAGAACCCCAATAAAACCCGACACCCACCATAAGCACAACTGAGTCGAGGTCCTTGGATACCGGAGATTGGGCATTTTGCTTTTGCTTTTACAGTTCAGGGTTTGGGTTCTACAGTTTCGGGAGGTGGCCGGAGGGGGCAGGGGGGGCGGGGGGGGACGTCAGAGGTGGGTTTGGGCCAAATGGTTCTTGAACACTGTCGGAGGCCAACATTGGTCTAGGGACCCTAGGGACCCTAGGGACCTCAGGGATCCTAGGGACCTTAGACACCTGAGAGACCTTGGGGACCTTAGCCTGGCCGAAGCTAAGCCCTAAGCAAGCAAGCCCTAAGCCCTAAGCCCTAAGCCCTAAGCCCTAAGCCCTAAGCCCTAAGCCCTAAGCCCTAAGCCCTAAGCCCTAAGCCCTAAGCCCCAAACCCTAAATCTAACCCCCCCCCCCATCCCACCCCCCCCCCCCACCCCCCTCCTCTGACACCGCGCGAAGCCAAATCTCGGACCCCCCCCCCCAAAGCTTTAAACTTTACACCTCAAACCGAACCTGTACACAGCTGGCAAGCAACAAGCAAAACAGGTGAAGCGACAGCTTGTTGTTCGACTTCCCCCCCTTGCCCCCCCCCCCCCCCCCCCCCCCAAAAAAAAAAAAAAAAGCCACCCCCCCCCCCCCCCCTCCCCGCGCTTATTGCGCCTTCCCCCCCTCACCCCCACCTGCCGCCTCAGTACCCTTGCCGAGGCGGCCTCGCGTTAGCGATAAAATTGTCTCACTATCTTATTAACTGAAAGACATTATAGTATAGACGGGTGTAATATGTGCTATTGTATGATATGCTATTATATTATAGTACATTCTATTCTACTAGTTGCTTCAATCTTTGCTGCTTGGGCGCTTCGAAACTTCGGCACGTAGGACTGGGACTCGGCACGCTGCGGCGAGCCACCATTGGGCGCCTGGCAAAAGTACTTCCAAGGTTTAGGGTTTTGACGGTGGGGTACCATACATATATATGTAGATGTACATGATTAGGCAAGATAAATTATGTACAAATACCTGTTTGTACACTTGAAGGTACTCTCATCAAAACAGGAGTCTTTAACTGAGAAATTCATAATCGCAAGAAGCACCGGCACCCCTACGTATCTAGAGCCTAGAGTCCTAAAGTCTTTAACCCCACCTGCTTTCGACGGCGGCCCGCCGATCTTTGCCACAGGATTCGCTGCGGCGAGGGATCCCCGAAGCGCCCGGAAGACTGTAGCCACCCTAGACCCCTAGACCGCTAGAATCCCTCAACCCTTCTTCCAAACAACAGCGTCGGAAGGCTTCCAGCGACAGCTCTCAACACCTGCTCCCAAACCCTAGGTCACCCTTCAGCCTTCAGCTGTAGCTTCAATGAGCTGTTTCGCTTGGCCACCTTGGCGATGACGCTTAGTAGGGATCAGGTTTGGGGGGGTTCAAGGTTGAAGGGGTGAAGGGGTGAAGGGGTGAAGGGGTGAAGGGGTGAAGGGGTGAAGGGGTGAAGGGGTGAAGGGGTGAAGGGGTGAAGGGCTGAAGGGCTCAAGGGCTCAAGGGCTGAAGGGCTGAAGAGTTGAAGGGGTAAAGGGGTGCAGGGGTGAAGGGGTTGGTGTGCAGGCAGCACTCCGTTACACATTCCGGCTGGGCATAGCACTCGCAACCGGCTTCGTCGGCGTCGGCTTGGGCTTGGGCTTGGGGTTTGGGGGTGTGGGATGGTTTGATCCAAGTTCAGGCTTCTAGGCTTTCTGGCTCTACAAGGGCCTGGGAAAACCTACACACCCATGACATGACCCTAAGCCACATGTGGCTGCGACACCAGAAGCTGGAGAGCACCCCTTTGAAAAGCAAGAGAAGGGCAGCACCATGCATTTCCGGGCTTTCTTCGCGCGGCGCCTTCTGCACCTCTCCGCAGAAGCGGCAGAAGTTGGAGTCGTAGCTAATCAGCTCCTGCCGGCACGCATGGAGGTTCTGCAGAATCGCCCCCCCCCCCCCCCCCCCCCCCCCCCCCCCCAGGCCGTCAAAAACCCAGACCCTCAGACCTAGAATGCCATGGACCCCGCACCCTAAACCCTAAACACGCAATCCCAAATCAGCAGCTAAGCCCTGACACCTCTGTAGTGATTACAGGCCTTTCCAGCCAACACCCCACGGGTCCCTCCTCAACTACCGGAATTCATACAGGGACCTGGCAAAAGGCAACGAGGTGGGGTTTCCTAGGGTTGGGGCCGAACTGTGGGATTGATTCCAAATCAACCCCCAGTTTCTTAGTTCTCGGGTCTTAGACCGCTAAGCCCTGCATCCTATATCTTTACATAGGGGGTTTAGGGTTTGGGGTAAGCCCTGGACCCATGCGTCCTGGCAGCTTCGGCAAGGAACATCCTGCGGCCGGGGCAGAATACTAACTCTCAACCCAGGCTTTGGGCGAGAGACGTTAGGGTTTCGTGGCTCGGTGGACTTACCGCGTATATACATCCGCTACCCCCCCCCCCCCCCCCCAACGAACCCTAACCTCAACCCTGAGCTGTCCGAAGCAAAGCCTTGCCGTCTGCAATTGGATGCTGCGGAATGCGACCAGATAAAGTACAAAAGACCATCTGCAATCAGGTGCCCTAAACCCTAAAACCTAAACCCTAAACCCTAAACCCTAAACCCCCAAAGCCCTATACAGACCCGGGACCCCTGAAAGGCCGCGTACCCGGTCCCAGAGCCTGCGTGCGCTTGACCGCCACCACGCGCTTGGTCGACCTTGGGAGGTTTAGGGTTTAGGGTTTAGGGTTTAAGGTTTAGGGTTTAGGGTTTAGGGTTTAGGGTTTAGGGTTTAGGGTTTAGGGTTTAGGGTTTAGGGTTTAGGGTACTCAGCTTCGGGATTCTTGGGAGGCCAAGGCTTGACATCGTGGCCCAGCTGGGCAGCACCCGCGAAGGCCAGGTGGTAGGGCAAAGAGGTGTCCCAGACAAAAAGAGGCGCATACGGGGGTTTCTGAAATAGGGTTACCTTATTGGGGTCCTTATTAAAACGGAATCCTACTATTCGGGGGTCCATATTAGGGGGTCCTGATTTTCGTAAACCCCCGTTTCCATGTTCCCTAGTACTCCCTAAGCTTCGCTAGCCTGTGTTGAAGGCCTACTTGGAGGTTCACGGGTCGTTTGTTTGGAGTTACAAGTAGGCTAACGAACTTGTTTGGAGGTACATGAGGCCCTACCTGTCACTACCCATGAACCTTCAAGAAGCCCCAAGCCCCAATCCCTAAACCCTAAACCCTGCGCCTGCAACCCCGACATTCTACACTCTAAACCCAAAACCCGGAACTCCAAAAAAATCCTAAATCCTAAACCCTAAACCCTAAACCCTGAACCCTAAACCCTAAACCCTAAACCCCAAATAAACCCTAAACACTAAACCGCAGAGCAAGAGGGCTCGATGCCTCTCCGGAGGTGCGAAGGTGGCCATGGCGGTGACTTCCATGATCGGGGCCTCTTGGGGCTTGTGACTCAAAAGCTTGGGCTTCAGGGTTTAGGGTTGAGGGTTAGGGTTAGGGTTTAGGGTTGAGGGTTTCGGGTTTGGGGGTTTCAGGTTTGGGGACAGCTCAAGGTTTCTAGCGTCGGGGGGGGGGGGGGGGGGGAATCAGAGCTTAGAGAGGGTTCAGGGTGCAAAAGGGGGTAGTGTGCAGGGTGTATATAGGGTTGAGAAGGCTTGCTTGTAAAGCGCTGAAGGCTGAGGGTTTAGGCTGATGAGGCTAAGAGGAGCTTGGCGTTGCTAAGTAGGCTTGCAAGGGCTCGTTGTGCCCACAGCATGTATCGGTTCACTGTGAAGGCCGGGCTTACCCAGAAGCTGCCTTTGTGCATCTTGGGGAAATGTAGGTTCTGCAAACAAAACAATACATCTATATGGCTCATATACCTTCAGAAACTCAACTTGTGCAAGACTCCTATCCTTCGAGGTTCAGCTTGTTTGGTGGCTGAGGATCTGGGCCTCACAACCACCCCAGTACGGAGAGGAAAAAGGAACAAGGCCAACAGGATTGTCTCCTCAAGAGCACTAGCCCCCAAAGCAGCCCCCTGCTCAATTACGCCCTCTTTCAATTGCTGTGTACGTCCTGCCCTGCACTGGCTGCATCTCATGACTTCTTTGTGACTTGAGAGTCTGCCTTTTTGTCCCGTGCGAAAGTTTGTCGGGATGCTGCTCGGGGACGCCGATGGCCGGGGGGCCGGGGGCCGCAAGTTCGAGCATCACGCACGGGACTTCTGAACGTGCCGCAGCGAGGTACCAAGAGTTGAAAGCTGATGGAGATGCGGAGAAGGTCTCGCTGCTGAGAGTTCCCTCACTCCTGTTTGCTGCACATGAACCTCTCTCTTTGACTCAGTGCAGCAGTATCTTGGTAAAGGCATCTTACGATTGCGGTTCCTACTCCTGCTCCTTGGGGATGGATACTCTTATCACAGAAGCTGTTCCAAAACAGGTCCTCCTTCGCTGCCAGCGCACGCTTGATGGCCTCGGCGGTATCCAGCGGATACGTGTTGAAGGCAATCCTCGCGCTCGGGGCATGTCGGTGCGTCACGTTGACGAGGCTCTCGAACCTCGCGTGGGCGCAGATGGCAGCGATGGCATCTGAAGATCTTGCTCTACAGTCCCGGGCCACTGAGATGCCAACACTGTTCATCATGCTAGGAACCTCGTTAGCAAAGAGGGTTCCGGGTGCACGGATCACAAGTAAAGTTCGCGTCAACACCCCAAACCCCAACCCCGGAAGCCCCACAGGGTTTATGAGGTGCTAAACCCTAAACCCTAAACCCTAAACCCTGGCAACTTATCCGTCTGCCGGGCCCGGTGGCAGCGGCAAGTGCGCCAGTGGGCCACGGATGCCGGCGCCGAGGACCACCACGTCATATGCATCCGATTGACATAGGTGCTGCCCTTGCGAACTTTATGAACAAGATTGCTGGGAATACTGACATTATACTCACTTTTGGTTGCGGTTGTTGTGATTGTAACCCTGTCACGGTTGGATTTGAAGCGTCTTCGGTTACGGCATGCGAGGGCTTAGGGCTTAGCGAGCTTGCGGAAATGAAGTCCTCTGGGGTTGGGGTGGAGATGGAGACTGGGATTTCGAAACACTTTGCTTAGTAATGAAAGCGCGAGGCTTTCCTCTGGCTGTATGGGGTTCAGGCACATTCAGGGTATAGAGCCGCCAGTCGCCCTAAACCCTAAGCCCTAGAGCTACACCCCCAAACAAAACACCAAGTCCATCAAGCCGAGTGTCGCAGCTGATTGCAGCTGCGCTGGATGCCCGCATCGTCGATCTCCCCCTCCACCAGGACCTCAATTGCCCACAGCTCAAGATCCCCGGCGTGACCCTCATGTATAATATAGGGGCCTTAGTAATTAGAACAGGGTGTTGGCGGGTATTCTAGTATAACTATAAAGGGACCAGAAGGGAACAATGTTAGTATCTATTCCGACCCCTGTATTGCCACCCTTTTGCCGTGAACCGTTCAATAGCGACACCCCGCATTTTCCCCCGAAATTACCAACCAAAAACAGACAACTCAGAGGGGGTCGGCCGATTTTTTCTGCGAAAGCAGGGACTAACACGCAGGCCTCGCTGCGATAGCAGTTCGTGACACTTACCAGAGCCACACATCTTGAAACCCCCAAAGCGTTTTCGAGCATGTGGGGCCCCTAAACCCTAAACCCTAAACCCTAAACCCTAAACCCTAAACCCTAAACCCTAAACCCTAAACCCTAAACCCTAAACCCTAAACCCTAAACCCTAAACCCTAAACCCTAAACCCTAAACAGGGGCGTTCTCCAGGCGGATGCCTTCGCTCTCTAGAGACGCGGCCATGGATGCCAGGTCCTGGACCCGACAAGCTTCTGACATGGGAGTGCGGCCCCTGATAAAGGTTTAGGGTTTAGGGTTTAGGGTTTAGGGTTTAGGGTTTAGGGTTTAGGGTTTAGGGTTTAGGGTTTAGGGTTTAGGGTTTAGGGTTTAGGGTTTAGGGTTTAGGGTTTAGGGTTTAGGGGGTTTATTGAGGGTATCTTTACAACAAGGGCTGCTTGGACGGCCTGGTAGATTCTAAGGAGGGCTTGGGGCGATAAGGGTCGAGGTGTTTTGGAGTTCGAGTCAGGAGTCTGAGCCCCTAAACCCCCCGAAGCACTAAACCCTAGGCCCTAAACCCGAAACCCTACCTAAACCCTAAACCCCAAACCCCAAACCCCAAACCCTTCTCCTGCTGGAGCTGCTTGTTCGTGAGGCCGCTGATGTAGGCGAGGTTCTGTGGCTTGACCCAAGCTGCCATCTGCTCCTCGCCACATGTGCGGGTTTCCGAGAATAGGCTTTAGGGTTTAGGGTTTAGGGTTTGGTGTTTGGGGTCCTTATTCTAAGGGAATCCTACTATTTGGGGTCTAGATTATATAGGGGTCCCATACTTTCGTAGACCCATGTGTGGGTTTTCGGTTTGAGGTTTGGGGTCTAAGGGTACAACAAAAAACCCTCTGTGCGGGGATTCCGACTGGAGCTTGGGAGGTTGCATGTATCCTACTTCCAAGGACCGACAGGTATTGTGCCCTTAAGGGTTCTAGATGCCTCAAAAACACCCAAAACCCAAAACCCAAAACCCCAAACCCAAAACCCTAAACCCTAACCCTAAGTAGGTCCCTGGAGGTATCGGCTTGACTCTGGGGCCGTCGAAGCCTGGCCCTGTACCCCTCGCCCTAAACTTTCCCGAACCCTAAACCTTAAACAAGCGGCTCCTTCAAACCCCAAACCCTAAACCCTAAACCCTAAACCCTAAACCCTAAACCTTAAAACCTAAACCCTAAACCCTAAACCCTAAATCCTCAAGAAGCAGCTCCTTCAGGCTGGGGTTCAGCTTGCGGAGGCCGACGATGAGCGCGCGCTTCGGCGCCGCCATGGCTATGAGGTCTCAGGGTTGGGGGTTTGGATCTTCAAGGATTTTTAAGGGTTTAGGATTTAGGTTTAGGGTCTAGGGTCTAGGGTCTAGGGTCTAGGTCTAGGGTTTAGGGTTTAGGGTTTAGGGTTTAGGGTTTAGGGTTTAGGGTTTAGGGTTTAGGGCTTAGGGCTTAGGGCTTGGGACATGACGAGGTTCCCTTCCCACATGCCCCCAGCACGGCTTGAGAAGGCTCTTGAACCTTTGGAAGGCAGCGGGCCGTCCCTCTGGAGCCTCGAAGCACCCCATATGTAACCAAACCCAACACCCCTGAAGAGGGTTTTAAGGGCCATCCTGGTCACCTCTTTAAAGGTTTAGGGTTTAGGGTTTAGGGTTTAGGGTACCCTGAACCGCGTAAGCCTGAATCTCACATCCAACTTAGTTTGGAATCTTCCGAGTTGACAGACACCCTGCTGGCAACCCTATATCCCCTAAACCCCTAAGAACAGCCCCTAAAAATCCCCCAAGATCTCCGAAGGCCCAGCCAAGAGCGGTTTCCGGATTTCGGTTTCAAGGCTCAGATTGAAACCCTAATCCCTGAAGAGCCTCCTCGATAGACCCCGCTTGGAGCTGGACCTGCGGCGCCTCGCAATTTAATTCGGGGGCTTCGGGGTGTTCGGTTTTAGGGTGTGGGGTTTAGGATTTCCGTTTGGGGGGTGTAGCGTTAGGGTTGCGGTTGTGGGGTTTGGGGTTTAGGGTTCCGGTTGGGGGTGTTGGGTTTAGGCTCACTTTTGCTATTTATCTCACTCTCTATCTCTCTCTTTCTCTCTTCTTGCCTCTTGCCTCTCCCTATCCTCAACCGGTGATACAGATGAAACGAAATCATCAGGCGGTTTACGGTTGTTGCATTGTATACGCATGACAACTCACCTCTACTGGTTCGATATGTGCTTGTTGAGTAAGCACCTCGCCAAAATTCGAGATTTGGAGGGCTTCGCGTCATGCAAGTCTCGCTTCGTTTGCAGCTTTGGGGCTTCATCCTCCGTTCGCATGTTATTGGGCTCAGGAGAAGGGGGCCTTCAGTCAGAGACCTTTTGTATATGACAGAGGGGGCTGAATAATTAGGATAGGGTTTTGGGGGTGATTATAGTAGAATTGTAAATGGACCCTACGGGAATACTATTAGCAATTACTCCTAAACTAGATTACGCAGAGACGATCGTCCTCCCCACCCCTGAATCCCACCTTGGCCTTGGCAGGCTGCACTGCAGCCTGGCAGCGCGGCTTCCCGCAACATCTGTCTAGCACTTTTTGGGGTTTAGGGTTTATAGGGTTTCGGGTTTCGGGTTTAGGGTTTAGGGTTTAGAGTTGAAGGGCTTAAGGGCTTTCCCCAGAAACAACCCCAAAGCCCTTGAGTCCTTGAGTGGCAAGTACGGCACGGCTCTCGACACGCAGTGTGGGGGAAACCTCTACAGTCTATGGCTGAGCCCTTGAAAGATGTGGAACATGAGTGGCCCTGAGCCTTGTAGAACCTTGTGCGCTTTAGAGTCCAAGGTGCGAAGACCGCAAGACCCCACTCCCCCTCCCACCTTGGCACGCGCTGCCTCAGCCTGGCTGCTTGGTTGCGTGTTCAAGGCTTCTCAGTCATGGAAATTCAGGCCCATACAAAGGCAGATAGTCCGACAGTCCCCTCAAGCAGTCTTAGGTGACGCCCAGAGCTGACTTAATGCCCTGCAGCCCAGATTCCTAAGTGCGGATACGAAGAACATAGAAGCTTCTGCTTGGAATGACGCCCACAGCCCAAGCCCCCAATCCGGAGGTCATCTTTAGTAATGAATGAAGCAGGCGTACACCTCAAACCTAAACCTTTAGGGGTTTGAGGGCTCAGTCTCAGGGGGCCCCATTTTCGAGGAACCCTGTTCCGGGTCTTACTGGGTCCTTGGGGCGTGAGGGTTTCCTTTTGTGGTCTTTCTGAACCACTAACCCACTGGGCCCCGTTCAGTAATTCGGACTTGTGGACCAAGTACGGTGCCCCGCCTTTGGTGGAGGAGGCGCTGCAGCCTGGTGCGCGCGACTAGGGCTCATAGGGGTTTTAGGGTTCGAGGGGCGCGAACGTCGGGAAAACTGCCCGGAGGCTCCAGATAAGTTCGCAAAATTCAAAAACTCACCTCCTATCCCTAAACCCCTATGAGCCCCCAAACCAGACAAACCTTCCCTATGAGCCAAAAAGAAGAAGCAGATCGAGCTCTGGCTGCGACACGAAATTTATGGGGTTTACTGTCAGGGCTGCCTCATGCTCCATCCCGGCCTCCTGGGCTTGCTTCCTTGCCTCTAAGGTTTGTCTCTAGGCTGCAGAAGAAGAAATCCCAACTCGAAACCCAACAGGCAACCCCTCAGCCGTTTAGCCTTCAACCCTAAACCCTAAACTCTAGGTTTAAAAAAGCCTGCTACCCCAAATGCAGGACCTTAAATATGCGAGCACCCTAAAACATAGAATGCTAAGGCCTGCAACCCTCATCCCAAATCCCCCAACAACACAGCCTGTAACCCTTAACCGTAAATTGCTGAAGCCTGCAAGATGTACAAGCCTGCATGCTGAAACCCTAAACCCTAAACGCTACACCCTAAACGCAAAACCCTAAATAAACCCTAAACCCTAAACCCTAAACCCTAACCCTAAACCCTAAACCCTAAACCCTAAACCCTGCCTCCACAATTCGGGCGGGCGGTCGGGGAGCGCTCGGCGCAGGATTCCTTTCAAGGGGCAGGGTTTTCATGGCCCGGTTGCGGGTATGGAGTTTTCGGATTCTGGGGGGTAGTGGGGGGTTTTAGGGTTTAGGGAGGGCTTAGGGGCTTAGGGCTTCAGGGTTTCCGGAGTTTATGGCTGTTGGGGCTGTGGATCTTGAAAGAGAATCATATTCTGGCTGTACAGGGTTTATGGTTGGTAGTCCCGTGATCTTGGCTTGACATGAACATCGCACAACTGACAAGAAGAACCGCGGCTTAGGGTTTAGGGCTTAGGGTTTATGGGCGGACTTTTAAGGCTTAGAGTTTGGGTAGGTTTTCGATATGGGGGCGTTCCTACAAGCATGCCCAATGCATATGCGCCTACTGGTTTATTACCGGAAGGAAGCCTCTCACATGCCCACATGAGCTGGCACCTCTCTTCCTGGCTGGAGAGCTCAGCAACAGCCTGGCATCACGGTGCAAGGACAGGTACAAGGGAAGCTGAAGACAAACCCTAACTACGGCAGTGCTCCAACTCCTTTTTGTTTCTATACTAGGTCGTGAGCATGGAACCTGCCATGGGCTGTTCTAGTGCTCAAGATCTAGGGTTGGTGTGGATAACGAGCCTATGCAGTGTGAGACAATGTAAGTAGGGCTCCTTAAACCCTTACAGCCTTAAAAGCTTAAACCCTTAGGCTCTGAACCCCGAACCCATTCCTTGAAATCAAGGCCTGTCGCGCTTCTTCTGCCGCTGCTTTGGCCGTTCTCGCTTCCTGGCGCGTGGCGCCGCAACCGACGCGAGTTTCCGCGCCGGGGCGGGGGGGATTTGGGGGATTGTATAGGGATGCACGGCATGGACACTAGGGTCCCTTGAAGGCTTCTGGGTTCGGATGTAGGCGTTATAAAGTCGGGGTTCTGGGCTGCGGACTTTGGGGCTTCACAGGGCCTTTGGAAAGCAAAATCTGACTCTGGATCAGATCTCCGGGGTGCTTGGTGGTTCAGCCCCTATAGGCTTAGGGTTTAGGGTTTGCTGGGGATATTCAGGAGAACTGTCGGTAACCGGTATATGCGTCCAAAACACTGTTTTAAAGAAATTGGGGGGTCAACTTATAACCCTAAGAGCACTAAACCCTTCTTAACAAACAAATGACTGACTGCCTTACATGCCCCAAACGACCCGCCTGCAGTGCGGCCTCCGCGCTGGCGCGCGCCTTCAAGACTCTGGGTTTTCTGTAGCACTCTGAGGGAGTTCGGGAATGTTTGGGCTTCAGGGGCATTTAGGGGTTTAAGGTTTTAGGGTTTGGGGTTTGGGGTTAAGACATTCTTAGAGTTTCAGGAGGGCATGCTGGGGTTTGGGGGAGTGAGAAAAAGTTGAAGCTTTCGGATGTGGGGTCTCAGGTTTCGCGTCGGGCTCCTTCTGTCCGACAGCGTCCCGTGGCCAACTGAGTGAGGGCCACACCCCGGCCTCCTTCGGCATCGCCCGAGTCTGGGTCCAAAACATGAACCCGGTTTTGGCCGGGAACCTTCTAGAGAAGTCTTTGAGAAGAGGCGGCCCAGGAAAGGAGGGCTCATGAAGAGACCCTACCGCATTTGCAAGGCCGGAGACGGGCCGAGGCGACTCCCAGACGAAGCCTGAACTTGAAACTATTTGGTTGAGGGAGGGTTGTAAGAAGGATTAGGGATGTGCGTTTGAGGCGTGCAGAAAGCACAGTGGCTTAAACCCTAAACCCCAATGCCATGTCGTTTGGGGGCTGACTTGCCCGACGCACCCTAAACCTTCAACTCCTGGAAGCCCTCTGGACACTTCTTAACTCCACACCCCAGACACCCCACCAACACTACAAGTTGGGATGTTCCCCCTTATACTTACAGTCCTTCAGAAGGATTATAGTACCCCCCTCTTATAATCCCCATGAAGGACTGCTAGTATAAGGGGGAACATTCCAACCCCACAAGCCCCAAAAACCCCTGAACCCCTTCCTTCCTGCCGGCCTCTCGCAGCGCCTCCAGCGCGGGGGCCGCCAGAATGAGCTGCTCGAGCTCCTCGCATGGGCTTTGACTTTAAAACATTTTATAATACATTTTCTCATAATTTTTCATATTTCATCCTATGTCATTCATTTTATGTATGGGCTATGACTTTAGTTATTTTCTGGCGGGTTAGGTTTAAAACTTGGCCGCATGCGGATCAATAGGGCCAGGGGTCTAGGGTTGTTCGGGGTTTAGGAATTCAGGGTTTTTGGAGTTCGAGGTGTAGGGTTGAGTTCAGGTTCAGGGCCTTTCGCGCTAAGAGTTCC